CAGTTCATTGTGGCATATATTTACAGTTTAGTCAGATCAAATTATATTTATGAACTGTTGTGCAAAGTCTTATCGTAGGTCCCTTTAGTGTAACCAGGACTAAAATCACAGTCTTTTTATTACAATTCGACCTGCACCAAAAATCTATGACTTTGTCTTACACAATGTTTGGGTGGGTGGATCAGTAGAGTCTGAGCAGCAGCACACACATGTACACAGGGCTGTGACTGCTACTGCAGAGCTCTTGTGTTAGGACAGAGCACTAGCGTAGTCACATATTGCAGAGGAAGACTGACCTGGACCCAGCTCTACAGAGACTGACAGCTACTGAGCTGAGAATGCATCTGATGTAGTATTACACTTATGCTACTATAATATGATGCATTATGAAACTAATTATGTGCAGTTATACTTTCTACTTTTACATTTTATGTGCTACAGTGCATTGCAGGGGACTACGTGTTATTGATATTGGACCATAGAGTAAGAAACTCACTGAGGAACAGCTGAAAGTGGCTTATGGGAGTCATCAGTTACTGACACACCTGGACACACATTTGTGTTGGGCTGTGTGTGTGTGTGTGTGTGTGTGTGTGTGTGTGTGTGTGTGTGTGTCTGGTTGCCACCAAACTGTCTGAAATTACACAACACCACAAGCTGCCGAACTTCCTTATGCTGTGTCAACATTGTAGCTCAACAGAAAGCTTTGCCCACGCAACACGTCTTACGCCATACAGTTGACAACAGTGCCGAATGCAGGAAGGGACAGATGTTGATGACAGTACGGTGTTATGTAATAACTAGATCTGCTTCTGTTTTAGGCCCAATTCTGGTTCTCGTGAGGAACAACATTATACAGCTGATATGCAGTAATTAGTAACACATTATCACATTGAGCCCTGGATTCCATTACAAACATGACACACACACAGGGATTGCAAAAATCTAGGTCACCGTGCCTGTGGGTAACAATGACTCCTTTGGTGTCGCTTTTCATTGGCAACACTGGAATTAAACAGAGCACACATTTTAACTTTTATTATCATGAATGCTTTTACTAGCCTTGTGTTCCCTAGTATTTTTTTAACACTCAATTTCAAACATCAGAGAAACACAATTACACTCTAATGGGCACGGTGTCATCTAAAGGAATTCAGCTCGCATCCTTCCAACCTTGCCACAGTGAAGTTCCAGATGTTAAGTGACTTTTATTGTCTTACAATTTTGAAATACAAACGAGAAGCATAAGTATGCAAAAACATACTGACATGGGAGTCAGGTTAGGGATTTGCGTGATGCTACTGCAGCAGGGAAGGCTGAACCCAAGGTAGAACATCTACAACATTTCACTTTGTCTTAAAACCACAGAGTGCAAAAAAGTCGGGATTTATATAATATACTGTAGGCAGTTAAATGTGGCTTATAGACTGTATTACAGCTGTCGCTGCTGACATGTTTGGCAAAAGTGTGTCCTACAATCAGTAAAAAACAATTTGATTTTGAGAGCATGACATTAAAATGTCTTTGACCTGCAAGTCGAGCAGGAGAAGATGCAGAGGAATTCTGGCGTGTTGCTGAAGCAACCGCAAACAGCTCACGTCCCATTTTCTCTTGTGCTCTCTCTGTATAGTGAAGTCTTTAGTGTGAGACCAGACAAGAAGCGAGAGGAGAAAGCAGACAAAGAATCTCCCTACACTGTTCCCGTTACACTGCGATGGCAACAGGGTGACAATAACACAAGGAGAGTAGAACAAAAATGCCTTGGCAGAACAAGACTGGCTCACATTGACCTTCTTTCATGCACTGCAGTGCACTGTTCCCATATCACAAACCACTTACCTCACGCCCACCCAGTCAGTGGCACATAACTATTTAATCCAGACTGGTTACTGCATTCTCTGCTTCCTCCTGTCAGTTACATAATCTCCCATTCTAAAATACCCACATTGTGACCTTGAAGCAGTTTGACTACTGCTCTGAATAATTAACCATTTGTTTACCCAGGTCTGTTATGCTGTGACTCAGGGGTTAAGTCTAGATTCGCTGCAGGCTATTCTTCAAACTTGGGAAAGTTTTTCCCATCTCTTTGTCTTGAAGACCTGGAGTAACGCTACAATAAACATAAAGGGATTTGAATACAACCATCAACAGATGTGAAAACATGCAGGGTCAGCTCCTCACCTCCCCAAACTGGAAAATTTTTAGTAAAGACTTGCAGTGGAAGGGGTACGAAATAAAGGTGGAAGGAAGCACGCATACGTTTGTGCTGTCCCACTGACCTAGAAACGATGCTACACAGTCAACACTCCGGCTGTCTTTTATGGTGCACCATAAAATAGGTCAGTGGGACTGCAAGGAAG